GGTTCATGCCTGCCCGTCCTCCTTTGAAATCCCCCCACAAAACCCACCAAATATTAAACACTAAACCACAAAGTGGTCTTCAAATCCACAATGTGATATTGAAGAACAAAGCAGTACAGTCCCCAGTGTGGTGGGAAAAGAGAGTGGCAACACCTGGTTAGAAGTGTCTCCACGCGGATGGAGAGCAGGTGGGGTGCCTGCTGAGACATAACCCTGGGGAGTGAGGGCCGAGCATGTGCTGGGGAAACTGCTGTAGAGGGAGCAGATTTCTGTGCAAAGGAGGAATGGGGGTGACGGGGGTTGGGGGGGAGGCCTTGAATAGTCACTGGAGCTGGAAGTAGGAAAGGGTGGGGCAAGCACATGGCCCCACTGGGCAGCTCCCTCACCCCAGCGCCCCCTGGTGCTCAGCAGGTGGTGCTTCACCAAAGGAGACAGAGGAAAAGGCCACACAGCTGATCTCCTTTCTGGGCAAGGGGCACAGGTCAGCGGGTGACACGGGAACGACTGGCATCACAGCGTATCACACGGGCACAGTCATCGCGGAGCCGCAGGTCAGCAGCATTTCTGGGGTGTTGGTCACGGGGTGGTCACGTGCGTTTGGAGAGGTCAGGTTCCTGGCTCAGAGAATGTAACATCCGGGCCTTACCGCCTCCGGGGCCTCCAGGGTTTCGAGCTGCCGGCCGGAAGCTGGGCGCTCGCCACGCTGACTGGGGAGCGGCGTTAACTGTCTTCTCTCTGGTCCCTGGAAACCTGAGCTTCTGCAGCATGTTCTTTTCGGGTGGAAAAAGGAAAAAAAGAAAAACAACTCATCGATCGCTGAGTCTGGGCGCCAGAGCGGGCGAGGCTGTGAAGTGGTCACATCTGTCCTGGCCTAGCTGTGCCCGGCGCCTGCCCGCTCCTGTGCCGCGGAAAAGGGTGCCCACCTGCTTCCCCATCACCGTCCAGGGGTGGCCTGGGGCCCACTGCGCTGGGGCCCGCGGTGCCCACTCTGCCGGTTTATCCCTTTATCAGCATCGCAGCCCGTCCTGGGTTCCTGTGGCGCTGTCACAGCTGACCATACACCGAGGGCCTTGAAACTGCGGGAAGGGGCCCGGCTGGGGGGCTCAGTGGGGTGGGCGTCTTCCTGTGCCCAGGAGGTGGCCGGCTCGATTCCCGGGCAGGGCACAGGCCTGGTCGCGTGCTTTGGTCCCCGGTTGGTGCGTGTATGGAAGGCGAACGATCAATGTTTCTCTCATCGATCTCTCTCCCCCTGCTCTCTATGCTGCCCTCGGGTGAAGATAAGAAAAAGAAAACCCACAGGAACGAGTGCTAGAGGGCTGACGTGAGGGCGTGGGCAGCTGGCTCCTTCCGCCCGAGGGAGACGCCCTGCCGTGTCTCCCGATTCTGGCGGCTGCCAGCGGTCCTGGGCTTGTGGGCGCATCCCTCCTGTCTCTGCCTTCGTCTGCACATCACCTTCTCGCTGTCCTCCCCTCCTTTCTCAGAAGGACACTGGTTCCTGGACGTGGGGCCCATCCTAACCCAGTGAGACGTGTCACTATAGCCTGAGGTGGCTCCGTGGTTGAGCATCGACCCATGAACCAGGAGGTCAGGGTTCGATTCCATTCAGGGCACATGCCCGGGTTGTAGGCTCAATCCCCAGTAGGGGGCGTGCAGGAGGCAGCCAACCCATGATTCTCTCTCATCACTGATGTTTCTCTCTCTTCCTCTCCCTTCCTCTCTGAAGTCAATAAAACTTCATTAAAGAAAGAAGCTTGGCCCTCCCACATGGGGGCATCACTGGCTCACTGGCCTCGGAGCCGGAGCCGGGAAGAGCTCGGCGCCCACAGCCCGGCCACCCCGTGTTCTCACCCCGGCCCGTCCTCCCTGGCTCCAGGCTCCCGCATTCTTGGACAGACCTGGCCGCCGGGTGGGGTCTTTCTCAGGGAGGCCAGCGCCCCTGCGGACAATGCCGCCCTGTGTCACTGTTTGTTGGATCAACAAGCCGGATTATGAGGAGCAGCCTCCTTCTCCCCGAGTCTGGCCCACACAACCCACCCAACCAGCCCGGCCTGTTCTGCACCCGGCCCCCGGCCCCTGGCACCCGGCTGGGCCCCTGGCACCCGGC